TTTTGAGGGCTGCATCCTGTAAGAGAAGAATCTAACATAATAAACTGTCTATGGAACAATATCAGAATGCAGAAGACCTGGTGTCTGACTTAAAATAATTCTATATAATGCTAATGGGTTTTCTCCTTTTTCATCTCATTTTCTGTTTAACAAATATTTTTAATACCTTCTAAGTGATGCTATTGTACAAAGCCTATGAAATGGGTTAAGGCATATATGTTCATTCTTTTCTGCACGATGCATTGCCACTATGTATGCTGAGTATTGATGCTAAAGACTGAATGGAATTGTCATGGTTCAAATTGTTTCCCATATTCTGGTGGCTTCTCTACCAAGGGTATGGATCTTATTGTTGTTAATAACTGATGGAAATGGTATCATAGTTCTAGCAGTGCGGTTTTGTCTTATGGCACATGCGTGCAGCTGGCAAATGTGGTGTCCATTGTTTGTATGTGTGATTTAATTTTTCCCCAAAGGAATTGTCACCTTTGCTTGGAGAAAATACTGTTAATCACATCTTTCCATTTCATCATTTTACTTTTGGGCTTCCCTGCAGTTCCCAAGTTACAGCAGGATGTGACACAATTCCTTGGAAATACTATTTGGTTTTGCAAGATTTAATGCTTAGTTTTTGGGGTAAGGTTGGAAGTGTGGCAATTCCTCCATCAAGCACCATCTTAGTGAAAGACACATTAGTTTCATCTTTCTGCTAGTGAAAATGTCCTGAATCTCTAGTAATTTACCTGAGAGTAATGTAGTAGTAGTAGCAGTTGTAGCCTGGTAGGCCTACCTTTCTGCAATCTAATGTAAACTATTACATCCCCCATTACAAACCCTGACAAGCTGTGTTAGGATTCTGTTACTGTGAAATGGAACCCAATGGTGTATTGCTCCATCTCCCGTAATGGTAGGTGATGTTCTAGACTCTAGGATTGTTTTTATAAGGCAAGGTGGCAACCAAATTAATGAAGATCTGCTGGGAACATGGGCTCAGATTATAAAAATGCATTTCCTTCCTCACCCTCATCATCTGGCTCTGCCATATCTTTTAGTTTCTTCCTGGCTCCTTAATGTGCTCCCCCGCTCCATTGTTCACATCGCAAATCCAGATATGTTAAACTTAAGCAACTTTGCCATGCAAAATGCTTCTCTGGAGCTGACCTGAGGAATTAAGTGGCAATAACTGGATTGTGAAACAAGCTTCAGTTTGCATACTCAACGGTCCTTTTCTATTAAAAGACAAAAATCCTCATTTTGCTGTGGCACTTTTAAAAGAGCAGACTTCTTCCTTACATCCAAATGTTATGAAAACCAGGCATGCTGTAATGCAGAACCCCAAGGAATGCTTGATTGAAATAACAGATCAGAAAAAGTCTCTTGCTAACATTCCTATGATTATAGGTTTACTTAAGTGATAGAAACATGGTGTCAGCTAGGTTTCCACATACAGGCAGTCCTCGCACTTATGGTGGGTTACGTTCCTACTGTAAGTCGAAATGATGCAAGTCGAATCTCATTTTCCCATAGAAACAATGTTAGAATAGGGCAGGGGCAGGCAATTATTTTGGGCAGAGGGCCGTTTACTGAGTTTCAGAAAGCTGTCGAGGGCTGCATGACAGGCAATCCAGGGCAGATTAATATTAATTTTCTACATTTTTCAGGGGCCCCGTGGGCTGGATAGAATGGTCTGGCGGGCTGTATCTGGTCCCCGGGCCGCATTTTGCCCACCCCTGCAATATGGGGTTAATTTCCTGACCAAGGGCCTGATGCCCAATTTTTTATAGAAATTACCATAAACACCATATTCAAATCAACTATTTAATCAACTATAAATGATATACACTGTGCAGTACAAAGCTTTCTGAAGTGTACTGCATATAAATCGATTAAACAGGGCAATACAGTAACTAATTGCATAAAATGTTATTTAATCAGAAGGTGAAGGAACACCTTCATCAGGGTCATGGAATTCAGAAGAGCTTCTGTGGGGAGATTTTGGGGAGACTTAGGGCTACTTGATGGCTTTTTGAGAAACTGATCCAGAGATATTTGTTTTGCTGTCCTCTTTCTCATTGTAAATTTCCCTGTAGTGCCATAAGTGGGAGGATCCAGTGTCGTAAGTAATAACATGGGTGTAAATGGTGGAGTGCCGTAAGTTGAAACGCCGTAAGTCAAGGACTGCCTGTATAAAGTAACTTTTTATAAAGAAGAAACTTTAGCTTTTAAAGCGTTTACTTACAGTCCTCAGCTGATGTCAGGTGTAATACATGAGGTATATGACACTTTTAAATGCAATTGAATGCCCCACCCTTCTTTTCCCCAGAAGTATGTATTGCTGATTGGCTGATATTTTAATAGCAGCCTTTGTTTGGAAAAAAAACCCAGCTTGTTCACTTAATAGATTGGCAAGTTCCAGTCCCAGTGTGCAGGGGAAAAGGAATGGTTCTCTACTGTAACTTATAGTGTGGGCATCATGTGTAAGACAGCAAAATTCTGCAGCCCTGGTGTAATGGGAAGTGACAAGAATTTGAAAAGGTTGATACAAATCAGGGTTGTGTCTTCTTGCTCTGTGGTAAAAAGTTGGGGGAAGCAGCAAGTGCTGGTTTCAAAGCAATGCCACTTTAAGCATAGTGCTATGCAGAGAGGAAGCAGTGATTATTGTAACTTTTCTGTTTAGGTGGTAGGACTCATTGACTTATCCCAAGCCACGTGAAAAGGAAATAATGGCAACTGTCTTAAAGCATCTGTCTTCTAATTTAATTTCTTATGGGTGCTGCTAGAATTTGTACATGTTCTGGTAGAGGTTTTTTTCTGCTGAGTAACCCTTCTACTGATTGCTGCAGTCAGATGCATGCTAGGGAATAAAGAGGGCCTTTGCTGACGGGTATTTCTAGCTGTGAGGTATAAAAGCTTCTGGTTTCTCCCTATAATGGTGGTACCTCAGTGGTGCATAGCTGACATTTCTGTGTGGTGCATAGTAACCTATTGATGGTAATCAATTTTCATTCCTCACCCGTACCTTGTTTATTTTCCATTGGAAATGTGTAACATAGTTCTGGTGCACATGGAAAACATGATGAAAATAGTCCTTAAAGGGTCCTTTGGAACAGATCAGTGCGGAAGCAGCAGTAGTGTCATCTTTTTTGCGCTGCCCTGAAATAGCTACGCTGCTGGATGAGAGTAGTTCAGTTGACTACCTTTCCGTCTCTATTGAGAGTGTGTGGAAGTCTTCTGATTTTAACCCGTTTTGATGCTTTGTGGCTGTGGCAGGGTCCTGTTGGTGCCTGCCACTTTAAGAGCTGAGTCAAGCAGCCAGCAGGTGCTTGATTACAGTGGCCATTTTAGAACCATAGCCACCTATATAAACAGAGCAGTTAACTGCTGGCCGGCAGGCAGAAGCATTGCCGGACTGAACTGCTGAATGGAACTTCCTGCAGGTAGGAGTAGGAGGCTCTTGGTCCTGGGCATGACCTAAAACTGCACCCTGCTGGGAGTGGTGAGGCTCCCAGTGGTGCAGGAGCCCCCAGGAAATACCGGGCCAGTTACCACCCTGGTGGAAGGTGGGTCAGGGCATCTCAATAGTCTGTAGCCCCTACATCACCATGGATAGAAATTGGGGCCAGGCATGGTTGCAACCACCTGAGCCTCTACTGGAAGGGAAGCCCCGTAGCCCAAGTGTGTAGAGTTGCCCCGGGAGGGGCCAGGGCAGGTTTGGCCCAGGTTGGGTAATTGGCTAGCCACTACCCAGGGGAGGGTTGCAGGAGAGGCCCAAAAGACGGTATGTCTGCCACCCAAGGTGTGCGCTAGATAAAGCCTGTAGCCTAAGGGGGCTGCCCTGAGAGGGAGCAAGGTGGTATAAGTTGTCGATGCGTGAAAGAGACCCTGTGAGAGGGGGTGGAGTGTGAGAGGCCCTAGTGAGAGGAGGGCAGTATGAGTGCGTGTACGAATGAGGCCTGATAATGAGGGTTAAGTTTGGTCTGGCTGTAGGCTGGGAGCATTGTGTTGCCTGGTTGCTGTCTGCAAGGCTTGGGCTGTGGTGTGGGGAGGATCAGAGCTGCAGAGTGCCCCCTGGCAGCTTCCTGCCTAAGTAGAACCAATTATGAAACGAGGCATGACAGGTGAGTGAGGTGGGTGGTTAACCTAGGAACAGGTGGGCGGGCCAGTTGTGGACCAGCCCCAAGAAGGCCCCCTGTTACAGTGGCATTATGCAATTAAAGTATCTAAACAACTACAATAGAAATTTTCAGCTATTTACTCTTTCACAGGCTGCCTCTTTTCTGCCTTGAACTCAAGTACAGTCGAGTCTCCCTTACTTACTTTAGGCATTGTTTCCCCCTCATTCCTCCCACCCACCCCGCCCCTCCCTTCGCTATACTTTGTTTTCCTAATTTCCACCTATTTACATTCTCACTGACATCCTGTCCACATTTTTAGCTGCTTTCATTCCTTGGAGCTCTCAGACCAGCAGAGACTCCCTATGCCTGCAGAAAGTTCCATGCTTGGGTGGTGTGCCGTAGGATGGAAAAGGTTGGGAAACGCTAGTCTAAGACCTTAGCTCCTGAGAACATGTTTTAGCAATAGGGACAAGTTGGTTAGAAATGTTACTTAACACATTTGGTGAACACATGAATTACGTGCTTTTTTTTTTTTTCTTTTTTTTGTCTGGTCTGTATTTGAGTTGGCAGCCTACTGATGAAAGTCCTGTTTTTATCCTGCAAATGTTAATGACAAACTTTTGACTTGTGATAGAGCTGGGCGATTTTGCAATGGGAGCCCCAAAATACAGGAGTTCAGAATTGCACCCCTAATACAAAAAATGTTTATGCCTGAGGGTATAATGCAGCTAGTTCCCACCCTGTACTCGTACTCAATGAGGTTCAGCTGCTCTAACTTGAAGCTTCCAGATCTCTGGCATCATCCCAAACTTTTGATATTGAGGATTTTTTTTTCCTTCTGCTATTAAAACTTTGTTTCTCCCCCCACTTCTTTTCTCTTTGCAGGAAAAGGCAGCTCAAGCATCTCATCTGATGTGAGTTCAAGTACAGATCACACACCAACCAAAGCCCAAAAGAATGCGGCTACCAGTGAAGGTAGGCATCTGGTGTTCATTATGTGTGTCAGTTGTCCCTCCCTGCACCCCCTTTGCAAAATGTTGTCTATTTTTGGAAGTTTCCATTTGAATCTGGTACAATGCAGGTTTTAAATGTATGAGGGTTTAAGACACTTCTACAAATAATCAGCTTAAGGGAGTCTTTTAAAGGAATATGTGGAAGACAATGGATTGTTTTATTACATCAGGTTTCATATGCAACAAGACCTATTTACAAGGAAAATAATTCATAGAAGCATCATGAACTGAGTACTAAGTAAACTCCATAATCTTTTTGAGTTTCTACCTTGAATACCGTGTAATTTTTTTTAAAAATAGTCAAGTACTTTAAAGTTGATACCAAGGAATCAAAAGCAAGAGCAGTTACAGGCAGAAGGAGTTGCTAATCCTTTGCTAATGATTTAGACCCAGGGGTAGGCAATGTTTTTTGGCCAAAGAGCCAAAAAACCCACAATGTCTACCTTGGGTTTTTGGAGGTGCTGGAGTACCAACATGCTGGCACCTGAAGCTGCTGTTTGCAGCCTCCTGGCTACAGCTGGCCCAGTCTGCTTGCAGCCTCCCAGCTGCCTGCTGGGACCAGCCTGGATTCATGGTCGGCAGCAGCTGCTTGGAGCCCAAGCTGGTGGTGGTGTGCTGAGCAAAATGGCCTTGCATGCCAGGCTCAGCACACGTGTCGGGGGTTGCTGACCCCTGATTTAGACTGATGCTGCTTACCTAGAGAGATTAGGTCACTGTCCACTCAAAGGCAGGCGATACTTTGTGTCTAAGGGAGGAAGGATCTTGCATGTCTCCATTAACAACGTGGCTTGTGAATACGTTTTGTAGGAGATTATGGTATCGGAAAAGTACCAATAATTTTCTGCTGCCTACCTAATACTTGGGTGGGAATGTGAAGTCCAGGGGTGTAGGTTGTAGCCGCGTTGGTCTAAGGACATAGGCAGACACGGTTCTTTGGGCAAGTCTGATATCTTTTATTAGACCAACTCGAATAGTTGGTAAAGTTCTTCTTAGCAAGCTTTTGACTATAATTACCCTGCATCAGGCTGAGGAAACATCTGCAGTTGGTGTGTGCTCTTCCTTGGTGAAATGAATAGATTTCAATGTGGAGTCAATACATTCTCAATAAGCTTCAGATGTTAGTGGGAAGTAGCATAGTCTGTTAAATTGTGTTAATGTAAGGAAATACTGACTAGATATTACAATAAGGTTCTTGATGGCTAATTGAGAATCACTAAACCTGTCCATCTGGAATAATGATCAAAGCTGGAAAGGCCCTAATCTTTGGGTGTGTTGAGGTGCTGATTTAAACCTTTTGTCTCGTTGGCTAAAGTGAAGGGATCTACTTAATGGTATGTAAACTGGTTAGTTAGCAAACAGATTATTGTTCGGTCATCTTAAGTTTCTCGTGTTTTAACAAATTAAGAGGAAATAATCCTTTTTTTTTTTTTTTTTTTTTTTCTGGCTTTGTTTCCAATATATTCTGATGGTTAAAATCCTGATGAACTCAGCTATACGGATGAAGATAGTACAATATTTAATAGTAAAATCGGTATTTAAGTGACGGATCTCAGATTGCTCTGCTAGTAAATTGCTACATGCAGGTCAAAATTGGAGATCTGAATGGAACACTTGGAAGTTTTATAAAGTTCTAATCAATTAACACGGCTGCTTAGGTTTCACAAGGGCTTTTTTCCTCTTGCGCTGAGGGGCAGTGTTTAACAGTAATAATTATTTAAATAATAATGTTCCAGTTTCAGCCTAGGTAGTTTAGTCAGGAGAAATTCCTTAGAAACAGTACAGAAACTAAAACAGATTTTTTTAACAGAGTATAGAGAAGTACCTAGGCAATGCCGTTACACTGAAGCCAGGGAAACAGAAATAACAGTGCTGCAAACCAGTGTCATTTTACATATTTAGTAATCAAAGTAAATGGAAGGTAAGAACAATCAGTAGAACCTTTGCATATTTTCAAAACTTCCTAAAACATTAGGCAGCTAATGGATGAGGTAACCTTCTTTCTCATTGAAGTCTATCATCTTTACACTCTTTAGGTCTGGTTCCTTTAGATCTGGTGAATCACAGTGTTGGCCCTGAACTTTTTCAGCATCATTCAATTAATCAGTTGTGCCCCAGTGAGGGAAATATTGTGGCCCAGCAGATAGTATATTTGCTTAAATAATAAACAGGCAAATTTCCTGCATTCTCATGTGCATATAAACTTCGAGAAACTCGAAGTGCAGGCTTCTAAAGTAAGCTGAGAAGCTGTGGTTTAGTTCTTTACTTTAACTGTCTGGTGAAGAGAGAGGTAGTTAGCCTGTTATTCTGAAGTTAGGCAGAAGGTAGGCTAATGTGGCATTTTAGATTAATGAATGAGTTAATCTAGAAGGTGCTACATTGCCCTACCTTCTTCCAGATGAAGTTCACATTTGCTGTGATACATAGTGACCCCTCTAAACCACCTACTGGGTTTATCTACATGTGAAATTAATATGACAGTAAGCTCTGGCGCACATTGCGCTGGAGTTTATTGCTCTTGGGCGCAGTGTTTACATGTGTGCCTGGGACTGCAGCACAATTGAGCCAGGTTGGAGAAGCCCCAGGTAGCAGGGGGCCCTGGGAGTCAGCTTGCCAGCGGGGGGTTGCTCCGACCTGGCTCAACTTGCTGTGGAGGGGATGGCTGAGGCACTAGGGTGCTCCAATGTAAGGCTACCTGGCCAGCAGCCATCACACTGAAGCACCCTTGTGCCCCATTATTTAAGCCCCATCAGCATTTACATGTGTTGCTATGTTCTAAAGAATGCTGCTGTAGGATAGTACTTGTGTATACAAGAACTAACCTATGGCAGAATTAATTAGTTTACCTCTGCCTAATAGGGCTGCATGTGTAGACATTAAGACGTTACTGCAGAGTGTGTTTGCTTAGCTACATACAGCATGAGAGGAGGGTAGGAAAGGATAACAGCAGGACTGATTTTGCTCTAGAATGAAGCGGGTACCTTACTGGATATGTGCCTTAGTGCTGGTTTAAATATCATTGAAATATTGCTGGCAATTAAGTTCCTGATTTACTTACCCTGAAGGGTGCCTAGAGTTTTGGTGTGTGAAGCTAGAGGCCTTTCATTTTTTTTTTTGATGAGCTTCGAACGGAATTCCAACTTTGCTAACAGACCTATTTCTTTCCAGTTTTGCATACTTTCTTTCCTTCCCCCCTCCTTTTGAGACTGTTGGCAAATTCTAGTGTTAAAAAACAAAACTGCCATGAAATGGCTAGCAAGAATATCTGTGGGCCTGATCTACTCCATAGGGACCAGAGCAAAACTTTTTATAGTCACTTTGCAGTGGCAAAAGTGACTATACAGGGCCCAAAGGACTGGTATGAAAAACCTCATCACTTCAGGGGTAAAAGAAACGGCTAGAAATTAGGGCTGTACATAATTTCTCCGAGTATTTCATTTCGAAGAAGTTTTGCTGCATTTCAGGCTTGAAACAGTGAAATCAAAGTGAAACGAAAAGCTACGAAACAGCTTTCGAAACTTTTCAAGTACCCTTGTTTTGTTTCAAAGTAGCCCGGTGGTGGGAGGCAGGGGACAACTATCAAGCTTTATCTTGCATGTGTAGAAGGGTCTCTGCTGCAACTGGAAGCCCCATCAGCTGATGGGGCTCCCAGCTGCAGGAGGGAACCTTGCCCAATCGGGGCTGTGAGTCTCACAACTGCTAGGGACTTCCCCGCCAGCAGCTGTAACTGTGGGTCCTGGCAGCACCTTGCAGCTGCCAAGATTTAGGGCATTTATACACGTACCTTTTGTGTCCTGTGATGCACCAGAAATCTGGCGGGTCAGAGCAGACTCAATGCAGCATGTGAGCAGACTGTGCTGCATCATATACAGTTGTATAAGCAGCAAAATGCATGTCAGCACGCAGAAAATTGGGACAGTGTGCTTTTGAAGTAAAACACCTCCGATGGCAAAATCAACCCAACAAAGCAGTACTGCCCTGGTCTCTTCCTTTAGCATCGTGTTTTCCCCTCTCATCCAGCATGTTAGACATAGCAGAGGACATCTGTGCAAAAGCTGATAGTAACTATTCACCACTTACCATAAGTTTCCTGTGGAAGTAAGGATGGATTTGATTTCATTTGGGAAGCACTTAAGGTACTTAAATAAAGGTTTGAATGGGCTGTAGATTCTCTGTCCCAGAAAGAAGTTATACAAGAATTCCCCTGCTCTCCCTCAGCAATTTTCAGGGAGCGTAAAACAACAATAGGTATGTGAACTACATTAAGCAAATTTTTTAGCTTTCCACAGAACTCCAAGAATTGTGACTCTTCCCATGTATTTAATTTCAAGTGACTTTTAAAACTGACCCCTACAGCTCAAATTATGAGATACTTTATAGACCTGTTATTATTAAACTGCATGGATATGTTTTTAAAAAGTGTGCTTTTTTTTTTTTTTCTTCCAGCTATACAATTTAACACACATTTCACGGACCATTCCCAGTCAATATCTGAAACTTTTGTGTCTACCAGTTATTTATATTAGGGAGTTTCAGTGAATAATGGAATAAGCCTCTGACTTTCACATAATTTTAATGAAACAAGAAGAAACAACTGGAGTTTTATAAATATAAATGAAACCTTTCACATTTCCATAAACCTTTGAAAACATTTCTCAGTGTTTGTTTGAAAGTTTTGTCCTGTTAAGTTTTTCCTGCTTGGGACCTTCATAAAATGTAGACTCTCTCATTCTCTGCACAACCTTTCTTCCCACGAGCACTTGATATAAACCAGAAAACCTTCATCACTAGTTCACATGAGAATGTATTACATGATATTACTTGAGCTCAGTGTAGAAATATTTTTATAGGGATGACTTAATATGTGCTTTTCCTTTCACCGTGTAGATGCATAGACACTAAAGCTGTAAGGAAGTGCACAAAGTAGTAACTTTTTATCCTGGATGTCTATTCAAACTGAGGTTA